GGGAGACTGCGAAGGTCCCTTCCCCGCGAGACGAGGGAGGCGGGGCGTGGCCAGCCCGCGCTGGGGTCCAGCGCCCTCCCCGCGCAGTTGCGCTGCGCCGAGAAGCTGCGAAAAGTTCGGACGAAGGCAGCGAGGCCTGGGATTCCGCCCCAGCGGGCGCTTCTGTTGTCCCTCAGTCGTGGGGCTGAGTCCGGGGTTGCGAAACTTGTGTCCCGCCCCAGGCCACTGTAGGGAACGCCGCGGTCGTCTCCAGAGCCAAGCTGTCCGTCCCTGGCTAGAGCCGATCTCGCCGCCCTGGCGCGGTCGGTGGCTCCTCGGCGGCCCGCAGGAGAGAACTGAGCCACGCACCGTGCAGCCTTCCTGCACACTCGCGGCGAGTGTCCCCGCGGAGCGCGGCCCTGGCAGGCGCGCGGGGGCCCCGCCACTCTGAACTTCGTGCCTTCGAGAGTTGTCAGTTCAAGCTCTGGGATTAAAGTCAGGACTCCACTCCCGCTGGCAGCCTCGCAGGGTGAGGAGCTCATTAGACGACCGAGCCACGGAGCCCCAGAGAGACCCTTCGCCGCGGGAGTGTGGGGGCTCAGTTCTTCGGCGGCACTGCGTCTCGGCTTTCTGGGCCTTTCAGAAAGCCAGGTCCCGGACGCGCGGGCTTCTGGCGATTCAGCAGCGCCCAACTCCCCGCCCCTGGTCTTAGGATCCGGCGGGGCCGCAGCCCCGGACTCCGCCAGCGCTGTTCCCTCCTATCCCTCAGATCTGGACGCCGCAAGGAATGACGCGGGGGCCTCCCGAGCCCCAGCTCCGGGTGGGGAGGGCGAGCCCCACAACCAGCCCCGCGAAGACCTCCTGGGTGGCACCGATAAGGAGCTGAAGGCAGGACCCGCCGTCCCCATGGGCAGCGCCCCGACATCGCCGGGAACCTCTTGGCAGAGGGAAACAAGGGACGAGGCTATGGACCCAGGTTTGTGGGGCGTCTGGCCGGGAGGGGCTGTAGGGGTGTCCTCTCCTCCAAAACTGATGGACCACTGTGGCCCGGGGATCTAGCCCAGTGGTTCCACTGCCTGCCCGGAAAGTGCAATGTCCCGAGTTTGATCCCCAGTACAGAAAAACAAACAAAAAACCCAAAACAAACAAACATACTTTGGGTCGGGTCAGGGATTTACCTCAGTGGTTCCGCCGCCTGCCTCACAAGCGCAAGGTCCCGAGTTCGATCCCCGGTATCCAAAAAAAAAAAAAAAAAA